TAATTTTTTTAAGGATTAAAGAATCTAATCCTTGTTAATGTCATAGTAAATATTTAATAAATATTAGTGCTCCTGCTGCCAGTAAAGATGATCTATGATGAGACTTCATGAACCTGAAATACTAGCTGTGTTGAATAATAATATTCCTGGGATCCCCCAGGAATAACCAGACCAATAACAATACTGTATTAGACTCTCTTCTGGAGGAGGTCATCGCCTGACAAGGAGCTCTATGCCTCCAATGCAGAAAGCCCAAGTAAGACTCCACCTGCCAGAAATCGTCCACTCTAGGCTTGTTCTATAAAACCATTTTCTTGTCTCCCCCTTTCAGCTCTTGTTCTCCATCCTTTCTTCTTCGTTTACTTTTCTACTTTGTTCTCTATTTTCCAGTTCTTTGAAACCTCTGCTCCTCTCCACATGTGAGGATCCTGTTGAGACAAACTAAGCAGATCTGTTTCCTCTGTGTTTAAACATCGCAGGCCAAGAGGGGGAAATGTTTCCTTTGGGTGGGTGCCAAGTAACTTCAGGGAGTGGGGGGTGAGAGTTTTTAATGACACAGTAAGAAAGAAAATATTTGTGTTTCATTTTAATTGAACTTTTCTTAAGCTCACTACATTTTAGTAGGTGAAAAGAATCAACATATGAGAACACTAGGCACAAAAATACACATACTGGCTTTGTGCACAGAAATGGAAAAAGCAGATTGGGCAAAGGGAGGTCTAGTGCAGGCGTCTGTGGGAAGACTTGCCCCACAAAACTCTGAGCTTCACGGCACCGCCTTTATCACTTCATTCAGATGAGTCGTGTAGATCCTGTTTGATTGGCTCACAAAAAATTGGCAAGATAAGGAACAAGTTTATTATTTTAAATATATTTCTATCTATTGGGGTCACTACAGTACCTTGAGGAACAAGATTATTATCTGTCACACTCCAGTTAAACCTGGAAAAGTGAGCTTTGTGAAAGGAGGTGGCTTACCTTGTCAGATGACTCTAGAAAGAGCTACTTTTGTCACTATTTCCTCAGCATTTACTATGTGCTAGGTACCGTACTAACTACTTTATACATGTGATCTCATTTTAACCTCCCAGCAGCTCTGTGAGGTAGGTATTGTTAAACCTATTTTACAATGATAGGTGACATCAAGCAATTCACGTGGGGCACACAGCTGACAAGTAGAGTTGGGACTTTTACCCAAGTCAGTAAGACACCAAACCCTGCACTTACATTGCAGTATCAGGTGTGGCCCCACCCATCCAGTTATCTGCTGTAAGGGTTCCAGGAAAGACTCATTACCATAGGATTTATGAAGACAACAGAGTAGCCGAGAATGAGAACTACACGCATGTGTGTATAATATAATTAAATGACATAAAATATCATGTTCTAGTAAATGAATCACTGTAGGACTAGGCTAGAAACCTCAGTTCCTCCCACTGTTCCAAGCTAAAAGAACATTTCCTTTCTGGTTAAAGTTTCTCTTCTCTCAGGGTTATCCAGCCTTTTCTGGGTAATCCATTTCTGTGTGGACTGCTAACCTTTACATCCCAGCTGTGCCTCAGTTTTATCATCTGAATAAGCAGCCCTGAACTCAGAGAGTTATCAGGATGAAGAGAAGCCGAGTGCCTGGCATATTACCGATATATTTAAAATGTTCCCTATTAGCAACATGCTGTTTCCTCGAATGGAGATCATTCCCATTTGAAGCACGGACTTTAGTCCTTGTTGATGGACTTGCTTGAAAATAGACATTATCATGATATTGTCAAAGGAGACTTTGCTTCTCTCCACTGCATCTGTAAAGTGTTCTTACCTGATTGGCTTATTAACTGCCCAGAAAAGGCTGCTCCTTTGTCTACAGCTCCCTGTAGCTCCTTGGCATCCTGTGAGGAGGGTGAGGGTCTGTGTTGTACACCCTTTGCCACATTGAAATGGGGGAAGATGTTTTCAAGGATGGTGGTAACAAGAATTGGTAGTCAAAGTGAATTGATTTTTTTTCACACATCTTCAAAAAGGATTTTCTATCTACTGTGGAGCACCCTGACTCAGGGAGAGTTGGTTTCCAAATCCCAAGACTATTTCAAGTATCCATGAAGTCTCAGACTCTACACATTTAATCATCTAGTATAATGCTCCCAGTCTACAGATGAGGAAACTGAGACTCAGAAAGTTGTCAGTGCCCATGATAGTATTTTTCCTCTGATATTCTGTCTTATCAAATTTATCTTTCTTGAATTGTAAATTTTTTCCACTGCTCTTCAGTAAAGATATTGCTAAATTTTCTAGCTAAATTTCCTTAAATAGTTTATCATTTGAGCTAATAACTTGTGGAGGTTGAGAGGGGACTTCCATTTTGATGTTTTTTAATATTTTCTTTTCTCACTTAATTTTAACTCCATTGTTCCCCAAGGGCTATTCTGGTTTTATAGGTCAAAAATATTAAATATTGGAAATTCTATACATTTCAACCTGATACCTAAAAGTCAAACACAATCTCTGTTTTTAGTTTTATACAGACATTGATATTGTGAATTTTATTTCTTGCTTCTTTGGTTTCTTAATATATAGTATACTTCAAAGCAAAGATTAGAAAGCCAAAAGATTTACCATGTAAATAACTGTAAAATATGCACAGATATGAACTAATGGCCCATTTAATATACCCCTTGAATTTCAGTCTCTCCCAACACACCTAGGCCACCTATTTGGGGTCCCCAATACTGCCCTTTCTTGCCTGCCATGGACACAGTAAGGCACCAGGGGGAGAAGTCAATCTACCAAAGAAGTCTAAATCTCTTGCGTGACTAAGCAAAGAGCAAACTGAATTTGCAACAACACGCAGTTGAGTGGCGTGCCTGGCAACGACACAGCAGCCCAGCCTGGGTAGAGGTCAGAGGTCATAGTGGACCCTGACTCATGGTCCCTCTCCTGATCAGGACCAGCTGGTCCTTCCTATGTAAACAATAAACAGACAGCTCCAAGCGGATGGTACCAGTGTGTCAGCGACCGTGCAAGAGCAGCCTGTGAGAAGTGTCAGGGAACGTGACTGCTGAGTCCACAGTCGTTTCCTCAGAGAAATTCTCACAGGTGACTCACGCGGCTTCTAAATCACTCAAATGGACAGATAACCACAAGCAAACTGCAGGCCCCATCAAACGTTTCTTATACTGATGCATCTATGAGACAGCCTGCAGGGGGAGGGGAGCCTCGTACTCCCACAGAGTGCTAAAAGTTAATGAGTGAAGAGATTAAAAGCTGCTTCAAGCCCAGCTTTAAAAAATGTGAACAAAGCAGTAACTTAGTAACAGTTTCCCCAGGACCCCAGAGCCAACTACTTCAGTCCAGTGCAGGGACATGTAGGAGCAAGTCTGCCTATGAGAGAGGGGACAGCAGTGCCACTGAACCATGGGCTCAGGCTCACCGTGAATGAAGCCTCACTAGTGTCACCTCAGCCAAATGACCCCACTGAGACTCAGTTTCCTCACTCGCAGCATGGGAGATACCTAAGTCATAGGGTCGTGAGACACAGCGGCCCCTGGTCACCCGTGGTGTTGATAAGTTCAAGAGCAGTGCCAGGCAGGTAGCCGGAGGTCAGTAAACGAGAAGAAGGATTAGTACTTATTTAGGACTTACGCTGTGCCAGGCACTGACTTGAGAACTTTAAGCATATCGTTTATTTAAGTCCTCTCCACAATACAAAAGCAAGCACTAACATTATCTGCATTGTGTAAGTGAGGAAACTGAGGCATAACAAAATTCCCACATGTAGCCAGGGAAGGGGTTGGGACTCTAACCCAGGCTGTCAGCTGACCCGAAAGCCCATGATCCTCACCAATAAACGGTGATGACTGTCCTGAGAATGACCCACAGAAAACCAGACGATATCAACGAACCTACTGAGTCCTTCCTTCTTTCTCTAACTTCTTCCATCTGATGGAGTACAGTTCCCTGCACTCAGAGGGGAGCCCATGTCTTTTAGGAGCTCCTAAACCCTCCCGGGATTGCTGAGGCCCGGGGAAACTACTCTGAGTTGAAGGGAGATCAATCCAGAGTCTTTTCAAGTTCTGTTCTGGGCAGCAACTCTAACCTTTCTTTTGTAACTGATTTACTCTCTGCAGCAGTCAGCTTCGGCTACCTTCTCTGAGAACTGGGTAGACTCAGGAAATGCTGGGCTGGCCAACCAGAAAATTAAATAAGAATGTCGTCAGGCCCTGAAGCTTAATTCTCAAATGCCAACAATTTAGAACAATGAGTCACTCTTTCAAAATAGAAATAGTTGTCAACAAGTGTTTAAATTCTTGCAGCATAACATAGTTTAACAGTTAAAAACACAGCCTAAAAGCCTAAATTCTAGACCCAGCTCTGGCTGTGTGACCCTGAGAAAGTTTCTTAACCTCTCTGTGCTATAATGGTTGCCTTATTTATCTCCTGGGAACAACAATAGGCCATACTGCAGAAGTCGACGTGAAGATTAATGGATTGATTTATGTAAATACATTAGAAATAGCTGGCACATCATGAAAGCTGTATAAATATTAGCTTTTCTTATTATTAATTTATTCTGCTGTGTTTCAGTACACGTATACAGGTTTTGCAGCAATGTCTTTCATAAACAACATTGCTGATGCTTTATTCCTTTTGAAAATGGTTTCTCTATTTTTACCATCTCACCACCAGCCGCCACCCATCCCGTATAAATCCCCTTCCCATCTCATCTTTTCCTTAAGTAAAGGAAATTACATTTAAAAGCCACATGGAATTGCAACACTCAACATGCTCATAAAAGCTAGAATTCTCTAAAGACATTAACTCAAATTATGGCTCTGACATAATATTTCAGAGGGCTCAATGTAGCCTCTGGCGGTGAGCTGTGAGGTCTTTACTAACTGCCTCCTTTTCCCCAGCTGCTTCTGTCTTCTCAAAAGCCTCCTACAGATGTAGCTGGCCTCTAGATTTGCCATTTCAAAGGAATGCAACCTTTGCTCCAGACTCAGACTCACCTCACAGAGCAGTGGTTCTCTGACTTAAGTATCAGACTGCCCTGGAGAGCTTGTGGAAACGCAGGGAGTTGGGCCCGGCTCAGAGCTGCCGTCTCAGTGGTTCTGGGGTGAGGTCTGATGATCTGCATTTCTTACAGGTGCCCGACGATGCTGATGCCGCTGGTCAGGACTGCACTGAGAACCACTGCCATGGGCATTTCTCCTCACTTCCTTCCCCCTGAGGTCCCATAAATCCTCCAAAACAGAATGAAAAATTCTGTTTGTGTATGCACATTACTCCTCCATTTTTTGAGAAATGCAAAACAAGTTTTGTTGAAACACCAACACAGCCTTAACAAAACAAGACTCACCTCATTTCAGCTGCTTCACTCATTCCACTCACCCACCCCATTCTTCAGTCAACTCCTGCCTTTCTTTGCACAGATGCTCAGGATTGCGTGTTTGTTTCTACTTCACTAGTCCTGCTGTTTACATGTACACATTAGTGTTTCTCCTTCTTCCCCATTAAACTGGAAAGTCCTTGAATGTCTTTCTCTCTAAGGCTCCCAGCACCCGATGCTGAAGGCACAGTGGGTGTTTGGTAAATGCAGTTGAGTGATAAATGCTGACTATTTTATTGTACCTGGTAAGCAGAATGAAGAAACAGATATTGCCATAAGAACTTTAAACTTTGCATCAGAGACCAAAGTGTGTTTATTTTTTGCAGCACTTACGTAGCCAAAAGATGACTTTCCACTCACATATAAATATGCAATATGTTGCCAATGAGCACTTTAAATGCTTTGATGCCATTCTCAGAAATACCATCTGTGCATCTTCTTCTCACATAGTTATCAGAATGAGTAATTTAATATAGGGCAGTATGTTTCAAACTAATAGGAAATTGCAAGAGTGATACCAAGTTCTAGAAATATTAGTGTAATTGTAATAGACTTTTATTTTGTGGGACATTCGTGCATGTATACCAACTACATCAAATCTTTTCAGAATTAAAAAAAGGAATGGTATTAGCCCTGAAGGCAATCAATGAGACTATTTCCTGAGAGTTAATAATTAACCCAGAAGTTATTATTATTATGTACTGATTTACAAATCTCATGAACTTACATCATTGAAGGATGAGATCATTATTATCTTATCTATTGACTAAGAGTTGAACTGTACCAAGTATATTATCACTATTTCCCAAGCAAGTAAAGGCTATTAGGGAGACAATCAGAAGGCAAAGCCTCTGTCTCGGTATCCTCTGAGGTCTAGAATATACATTAACCACAACGGCATCGGAGGTCAAATATTTACACAATTCTGTTGAAAGAAGTCATTGTTATACCATGTCCCAGTTGATGTGACAATGTGTGGCCTTTAAAAACATTTTTTTAAGGATTTAGTGCTACATCTAACCTTCTTTTGATCTATTTTTTTTCTGATCATTAAATTAATAAGAACTTTTTTTTGCCAGTGTATTCTGAACACTTCGTTTCATAGCAGTTTCAATCTTTCTGAAGTTCAACCAGAGACCAATAATTAGTTCTAACGGAGGATAAGTGTAGGCTGTTTCTGAATTTTTTTAAAAAGTCATTTCATGCTATTGTTACTTCCATGATAAAACATAGTGACATTTGGGTTGATTTCTTTCCCTGGTCTGATTCCTAATGTTGCTTTTATCTACCCAAGCTGTCTTGTTTTATAAAAGAAGCTGTACTGGTGAATTTGAGCTAGTCTTTTCTTACATATGCCATATAATTATAGGCAGCACACATTTCCCCCTGGCAATTAATCTTTTCCCCTAAAGAAATTAGAAAAGTAAAGGGTAGAGGGTATTCTTTTTGTCTTTAAAAGTTAAAAATCACATTTTGCCATGCCACATGCGGATTTCAAGCCAGTAAGACTCTTTTTTAAAGTTATTTTTTTAATTGAGATGGAATTGACATAATATCATGCATGTTTAAGGGGCATGACACGTTTATTTGATATATTTGTATATTGCAATATGATCTCCATGATAGCATTAGCTAACACCTTTATCACGTCACATAATTATCATTTCTTTTTTATGGTGAGAATAATTAAGATCTACTCTCTTAGGACGCTTGATGCCTATAATTCCATATTGCTGTCTACAACCACTGTGCTGTGTATTAGATCTCCAGGACTTATTCATCAGTAGTTGGAAGTTTGTGCCCTTAAGCCCTCCAGCCCCTGGTAACCACCATTCTCTCTGTTTTCACTGAATTTAGCTCTTTCAGATCCCACATATAAGTTATATCATATAGTATTTGTTCAAGCCAGTCAGACTCTTGGCTATTGGCACAGCTTTAAAACCAAATAGGCTAGCGTTACGCATTAAAATATGCCAAGAGCAGCTATGGTTGAGAAAATAGGAAAAATAATCCTGATCCTCCACTGCTATTCCAGAAGCAAAGTTAAAAGTGACTTCAAAGGAAACTGACATTTGGACCAATTCCAAGTCAGTGAGAATTCAATCCAGCCCATCCACTGCCGGAAAATGTGGATAACATGAAAGTGATAGTCAACACAAACCCAGTCGTCAAGAAAGTTGGAGAACATTAAATAGATGATAAGAGGTCAAAAGGACTTGTGGCAAAGTACTTTTATTTTTCTAGGATTTGGCTGTGATTTGTTTTCTAAATTGTGTTAAGTTTCTAGTTGCTAGTCACTTCCTGGACTTTAGAATTAGCAAAAGATAGCACTTGGTGCTGTAATCAAGCAATTCACTAAGAAGTACAGATTTTTTAAAAATTAGCTGAGTCCTTTCATAAAAAATTTTTTAATGAAAAAAACATTTTTTAATCTTTTTGTTTGTTGACTAGATTTAACTTAGCAGGTCAGAAAACAAGAACTAGATCCTAAATAAAAAGATCTGAAAGTGAGCCCATTGCCCACATTCCACTTACAGGACAACGCTGGCAACTCAGTGTACCTGCCAAGGGCACCAGTTCCTCTGCCACAAGGTGAGACAGTGTTTAGCTTTTCACATAAAAGTAATTGGGGCCGTTTTAGACTGAATCTTCCTCAATTGTTTTTTGCATACCCCACATTTGTACCAGTTTTGTTAGTCTGTTTTCTCGGTTGTTGACTTTTGCAAAATTAATTTCATTCCCATATTAAAGTCTTCCCAAGTTTCCACACAGAGGGGTAGGGAATAGTAAGTTTACAGTTGTGAGTACATGAAGTGCAATTTATTTTTGTATTATTATTTATTAATTATCATATTATTATTCTGTATTACAGCTATAAACCTACTTTTGCCCACCCCTATGTATAATTTTAGGTATCAGCAAACTTTCAGAATCTCTCCAACTATGATATTTCTACATATTTCTGAAGTCCTGTTCCTTTGAATGATAATGCTTTTGCAAAAAAACATGCCTCAGATGGAGACCATCAAATTCTATGGTGGTTAATCGGGGAGGTGGGTTAAGGGTTGGAGGGACTGAGCAAAAAGGAAAAAGGACCTATAGACATGGACAACAGCGTGGTGATTGTGGGGGAGAGATGGGTACAAGGGGGACAAATAGTAATGAAAAAATACAATGAAGATTAAATTTAAAAAATATAGTAAAATAGGAAATGTAAAAGGGATTCTATGGTGGTGTCCCCCACTGCTCTGAGGGTGTTATGCAGGGTGATGGATGTTGCCTGCAATGTGGTGGAACACACACATGAGCTTTGGAATCACACCTGGGTTCAAGTCCCAACTCCACTACTGAGCATCCGTGTGATCTGTGAGATTCATTCAACATTTCTAAACCTCAGTTTCCACATCGCTGAAATAAGGACGGCAACAACAACCTCACGGGATTACTATAAAACTTCGAGAAGATAATGTATGTAAGCTGCTTTGAAGAGTGTCAGCATATAGTAAACACTCAATAAATGAGACTTGCTGTTGTTATGTTTGTTTGATTGGCGCTAACTTCTTCCCTTTAAGAATGCCCTCTTTTCCAATAAGTTTAAAAATACCCTTAAACCCTTGAACAACACAGAGATGCGGGTGCTAATGCCCCACACAGTTGAAAATCCACGTGGAACTTCTGACACCCCAAAACTTAACTACTAATAGCCTACTGTTGATTAACACATATTTTGTATTATATACCATATTCTTACAATAAATTTAGTAAGCTAGACAAAAGAAAATGTCATTAAGAAAAATCTCAAAGTAGAGAAAATACATTTACATTACTATACTCTATTCACGGATACCATCAGTTTACATCATATGTTTTAGGCTGCACCGTTTGTATGCAAGCTTTTTCCAACTGTCAACTGAAAGAAAACAATCCACATGCAATTGGACCCTCACAGCTCAAACCCATGGTGTTCAAACATCAAGTACGCATTGTTTTCCCCAGAAATGGCTTATCCACTTTACTCCGCTAAGACACACTACCTAACACGTGTTTACATACATGTTGATCTGCTCTCACTCAGTGTATTTATACAATACAATATGTAGTGAACAAGTATTTACTAAGTGCCTATTTTGTAGTGGATATGACACATGGAGGAAGAAAGGGTAAGTGTTCCTGGTAAGATGTAATGCCATTCCTGCTTTTCAAGACTTCACAATTTCATGACAAAAGACAGAGAATTTTTTTTAATTACAATTCTAAAAGAATTTAGGAAATGGCAGGCAGAAAACTCTTTCAAAGAGGATATCTTGAAGAATGAGTAGGAGTTTGTCAGGTCAAGAGGATGGAGGCTGGGGGGTGAGTGAGGCTCCAGGCCAAAGCATCTGGAAAACTAAGTTAAAAATCAGAGATTGACTAATGAGGACAAAAGCAGAACAAGAGGAAAAAATAATCGGTGGGGGGGACATTCTCCACCTAAGGACTGAGGGAGGCCCAGGGCTATCTCTAGCTGACCACGGAGAACAGCTCTCAGAGATCAGATTGCGTCTGCTGCCCAGACCTTACTTACCTCTCTCTCTCTCTCTCTCTCTCTCTCTCTCAAAGCAGAAAATTTTGCCTCTATGAACTCCATTTTCTATACTGGCAACCTATATTTTCATGAGACATTATTTCTTTTCTTTCAAATGTGTACTCTTTATTTACTAAATGGTTTGCTTATAAATGTAAATGACAAAATCCATGTGACTTTAGCAAAGAAACAAAAACAACAACAAAACAACATGCCCCTCTAACGTCAGCCACTTCACCATCTCTGCTTGAACTTGATAACCTGTCTTTATACTGGTTCAGACAGATGTCTGTCCCCTGATAAAAGCTGACAAGTGCTGCACACTCACTATGCACCAGTCATTGTCCCCAACTTAATTTATTCCTCCCAACAGCCTTACAAAGAAGAGGTATTGCTCTTATCCACATTATATATATATATATACAGAAATGGAAACTCAGAGAGGTAACGTGCC